GTTTCTGACCACTTATAAAATGTGTTCAATGTGCTGTGTCACTGTGGGGTCTGGGGGCTAGAGAACATTTACTGTAACTGTATTTAAATACAGCTTTACGCTAGCTACTTTACCCCTTTCACGCATAGTGGTCACAACAGTGGACAGCTATTCAAGGCCTGTTTTCTTGTAATTGTGTCAGTGTTGATGGCATACTTGCACATAAACCTCTACATTGGACACTGATGTGTTGCTCCATACCCTGCCACCCACTTCAAAGGTGATGTTGTCCACCTAAGTGGACTTGTAAAAAACTATTTGAAAAGTACATGTTTAAAAAATCATGTTCAAAAATCTGTTGTTTCATGCCTAAAGATGAATAAAAATACTTAAGAAAATAATAATAATAATAATTCATCACAATCAGAAAGACTTTATTTATCCCCAAGGGGCAATTAACATACAACAAAGCAGCATGACGTTGAAGAACAGGACATGGCATAAACGTGAAAGGGTTAAAGAAAGGTCGTTTTTCTGAGTCTATCCACTGGAACACAGAGACATAACTATTGTTTTAGAACTCTTAACTGAAGTGGTCTTTGTATTCAAGTTCAAATTTGGTCCTAAAACTGTTTTGCTTGTGAGCTGCATATAAAATTCATTTTAACTGTTGCAGTTTTGATTAGCATGTGTGGTTGGACTTGAAGCACCCAGAGTTTTTTTTCTACGTTGACAAAAAGTAACTCAGATTAAAAAATAATGAACAAAAGCTGTTATTATGATGTTGTCTGTAACGTCGTTTCCACAGGTACAGTTGATCAGAATGTTAACAGCCATAGGAAAAAAAGCACTGATCTCAACTTGTAGTTCACGGCATTACTCACTGCACCATCGCACTCTGGACCATAGCATGCATCATCGCACGCTTAAGATTTTAATGAGCAGGTAAAGCTATGAGGTGTGTGTGTGTTTCTATATCTGAGCAGCATTTTGTAATGTTTGCCTGGCCATCTGATATTAGAGGGTGTGACGTGGATTATACCCCGAACGCTGAGTCAGTCACACAATTTTCCCCCTTTATGGTCATGGTCTTCCTGTGCCTTCCTGTGTTAGCCTAATGATTGTTTCCTGTTGAGTCAGCACTCAGTTACACACCCAACCACACACTCCACTGTTGTTTCTGATTAGATAGCTGTTAATGCTGCGTCTCTGTGGCTCCTTTAATTACAAGTTGTATGTTTTTTTCTCGACACCAAAAGTGCGTCAGCGTGTAAACACACATGTGAAAGAACTTTTCTTTCTGCCCTTTACCTCCTTCACTTTTTTTCTGTTCCCCTAAATTGCTGGTGTTTTTTCTCTTTTGTCTCCTGTGCTCTAACATTTTTCTTTTCCATCTTTTTTCTCTCCTGCTCTCTATCCTCACTCTTTCCTTGTGTTCTGTCTTGCTTTGCTCTTCTCATTCTCCTCCATGCCGTCTCCTCTGTCTTTTCTTCTTCTCTCTCCTCCTCTCTCTTCAGCTCAGCTGATCTCGGATGACGTCTCAGAGATTTTCACCCGCTTCAATAATGAGTACTTTACCCGTTATGGAAACACGCTCTCCACCAAGTCAGCCAATGCCCAGTATGACGACAGTTATCTTGGTAACTACACAATCACGTACACACCTTCAGTCAGATTGTCATAACTTCTATGTTTATGTCTCACAGCTCTTTGTTAACCAGTGGGTGGAATCCATCTTTTGCATGTAGTCTGTGATCATCATATTAGTGCTAGTCTACAAGCAGGACCTGGTATAAAGAGATAAAAAAAAACCTGCTGCTTGAGTTTTTCTATGTGTAAAATTAAATAACTGTCAAATATAAAACTATGAAAGCAAAGTTTAACAGTAAAGCATTTACACAAATTACAACGTTGCAGCTGCAAGCTTTGAGAACGATCCAAACACAGAGGATGAACTTTTCTAGTGTGTCTAGCTATTGAGAATGTGCCTGTAAATTACAATATATTTGAATTATATACACAAATTCTTATTTAGAGGTCCTTGTGCATCTTTAAACATTTTTTGAAACGATCAAACCCCAGAAAATTTGAACAGTCTGACCGAGAGACTGATTGTGTTCACAGGATACTCTGTGACAGTTGCAGACTTCAATGGCGATGGAAAGGACGGTAAGAGGGATAAGAAAGGGGATTTATATAATGCAAGTGTACTGCAAATACACCAGTGTGAAATGTTCACACAGTTTTCACACACTTATAAAGAAAAGGCTCGGAGTGAGTTGAATTAAATGCTCTGTTTTTAAAGGCAGTGTCCCTTTTAAAGCCACAGTAAATGTAACAGTGTTGGGTTTTTTGATTTTCATATAAACCACGTCAATGGCATAATTATAACAGCAATATTTGAAGCAATAGCAAAAAAAGTCACATCTGTAGTTAGATGATAACCAGTCTGTTAGTGTCTATCTGTTCAACTTTTTATGCTTCCACAGATTTTGTGACTGGAGTACCGAGGGGGGAGAAGGCGCTGGGTTATGTAAGTGTTACAAGCTCACACACACTTCTCAATGTTTGAACTATGCCAAGTTACGGCTGTTGTCCTAGAGCTTCCATAGTGCAGGACATGCATATTATCCAGTCAGTCTGTGGTCAGAGAGTGTACCTACCTCAGGGCTTTAGGCAGAGTGCTTCATAGCATCTAAACAACAATTATCAGCTAGTGCTCTGCTTCAGATATTCACTGTCAGTCTTCTCAAGCTCAAGCTGTGATTGGATGATTGCTGGTTTCTCTTCATCTAGTTGTATAACAATTTAAAGCAAACCGTTATTGAGAGTTCAGAGTTTCAGTTACAAAGACCAACTTCAGTTCTTCTTATGTTCATTACATATGGTTAGAGTAATAAACCCACACTTTAAAGACTTAGATTTTTTCATTAGGAAACATAAGCTTGCTGTTAAATATTAATCATTGTGGCTTCAGATTGCATTGCAAATAAAACACAGAGGAAAATAAGCTAACAATACAGCACTGTCTACAGCACCATGTGTATCCGGTCGTTAAGTGATGACGTGATGAATCCTGCTTCTGGGCCTAAAGTAGTCTGCGTTTAATATGGCTTTTGTGTTGTTAACATGTTTAACCTCCTAGGACCTGCGTCCACATATGTGGACATCACATTTTGGGTTATTTAGACTAAAATACTCAATTTTGCTCTACATGGGCCTAATATCCACTTACGAGGACATTGTACTGCTACTGTTTTATCAACATTTTAAATGAATATCCTCATGTGGCTCTTACTTTTCTTAAAAACAAAAATAAGGTAAAAAAAAAAAAAAATCTGCTAATTCTTTGTTTTTACATTCATCGGGCCCCAATCAGCCCAAATATCAAAGAGAAATTAAAAATGCATGTCGTGGAAGAGTTCGGGTCTTAGGAGGTTAATGTTTTGTATTTTCTTCTATTTAATCTCAAAAAGCTCCTAAAACAGTCAGTGATCACTGTTGACCTCCCTCGGCTTTTATTACCACTGTTCATTTTACAGCTCAGTTTTTAAAACCTTAGGATGTAACCTTAGCCCAGTCCATGCAGCAGTATATGAATGACTA